AGGTTATGCTATTGAGATAGCACTCAAGAGTAAAAGAATTTATACCTGAATAACCCATGAGATGTTAACATTGTTTCATTGGAGATCCAAAGTGAAATGTATAAATTAATAATCATACCTGCAGTCTTCCGACAAGAAAACACATGGACAAGATGGTTCAATAACAATCATGAAACAAGAGAAAAGGGGCAGATAGAAATAAGGTAATATCAATGGTACTGAATAAGTGTGAGCTGAAATGAATAAGCTGAAAGACTTATGAGGCAAGAACAGAAATGTGTACATTTTGATTATCAAATCTGGAGATATTTATGAATCAGCACATATGGCAGGTGTTAGTAATTTCAAAGCATTATATGACAGAGTGCTGGGAAGACGGGACATCACAAGCGTAAATCTCATCCTGTAACTACACTTAGGTAGTTACAAGAATAAGGGAAGGGGGAAGTACCATAATTGCTGAATATGCTATTCACCAGAAAAAAGAGGAAATCTCTGAGTTTTAGTACCTGCCTCCATTAACCCTTATATGATGACCAACATCATATCACACAAGAATTCACCTGATGAACATATGGTTTATATCATGATAATTCTCACTTGAAACTTACAAAAATTTACATTCTCCTTTCAAATCCTTATACTGTACAGTAATTATCAAGATTTGTCTTTGGCTTTATTACCAAATACATAGATAAACCGTGTTATTACATACAGTACTGTATAAGTTATTAATTACGGTTCAAGAATTTTGGGGCATGTGGCAAAATCATGAACAAATATATTTATGGGAAAAAATACATTTTAGACCATTTTTTTTGTTTAGTTTACTGTAAAATATTTATGATTTTCCTTGAATCTTATTAAAAAAAATTTTAATTATGGGTAAACATTTACAGTATATTCAAACTTCAAGAATCAAAAGGACAAAATCAGCATTAATAATTCTGTACAGCCCAGGAAATATATATTTTGTTTAATCTTTCTTTACCAACTTTCCATATTTTTTGCTCTCTTTTTGCAATACAAAATTAATACTTTTCAATTAAGATTTGTGCATAGTGATGTACAAGGGCTATGAGAATCGCACAAGCCAAGGGTTAAGTGAAAGCGATCATGTCCTACAAGAAATTAAATAACAATTCCGTGAAAGCGAGATAGCAGAGAAACTTGACCTTTAAAGATTCGAAGTAGAAGCACGTATCCATTCGGTTGTGAAATTGAACAGACTACTAAAATTCTATCCTATATTTTTGTATAAAACTAAACACGATAAACTAGTTAATGAGAAAATCATTTGGAGCAGTGCGGGGATTTGAACCAGTATTCTAGTGATTCCCAAATGCCTGCCTTAACCTATCTTGTCCAATTGCTTGCTTAACCTACTGCTGTCCTATCATAGCCAAGTGGGTTAAGGCAAGCGTCTGGGTGTCTCTAAAACGCAGGTACATATCTCCGCATTGCTCCAAATGATTTCCTCATTAATATACCACCCCATTGTGATTTCTTTCTGTTCTAAAATAGCTATTTTTTTTTTTTCAGAAAACATTACAATGATAACAGTGCTGCCATTTGTTTGCAACCTTTAGTTAACAGGAAATGTGCTCATTCATGAGTGTGTACCAATTTGGAGTACATAGACGGCACGCATAGACGCAATAAAGCACCTAAATTATTGGGATCGTCTCAAAGCCCTCCAAATGTACTCACTAGAAAGAAGACGAGAGAGATATCAAATAATATACACCTGGAAGATACTGGAGGGCCAAGTACCAAATCTACACAGTAAAATAACAACGTACTGGAGTGAACGACATGGAAGAAAATGTAGAATAGAACCAGTGAAGAGCAGAGGTGCCATAGGCACAATCAGAGAACACTGTATAAACATCAGAGGTCCGCGGTTGTTCAACGTCCTTCCAGCAAGCATAAGAAATATTGCCGGAACAACCGTGGACATTTTCAAGAGGAAACTAGATTTATTCCTCCAAGGAGTGCCGGACCAACCGGGCTGTGGTGGGTATGTGGGCCTGCGGGCCGCTCCAAGCAACAGCCTGGTGGACCAAACTCTCACAAGTCGAGCCTGGCCTCGGGCCGGGCTTGGGGAGTAGAACAACTCCCAGAACCCCATCAACCAGGTATCAACCAGGTATAGTTATGATAATAGCAATCAATTTTAGCCTTTATGTTCCCTAAAGGACTGTTGTTCTGTAAATTAAACAAATTAAATCACTGATTTTGAAGAATTGCTGATGGTGATGAAGTCACATTTTCAGAATGTGACATAGTTTACAGATTTTTTAGTACATAGTAGCATGAGGCCTGGTCGACGACCGGGCCGCGGGGACTCTAAGCCCCGGAAGCACCTCAAGGTACCTTCAAGTTTCTTTGGCAACCTCATACCTCATAATGTGCATACCTCATGAGTGTGAGAGTATCACAAACTGTGCCCACACAGATGCAATATTCCTGGGATTTTAGAGTTGCATTCTGTAAATCAATCCAAAGACTATCCAGAAATTTCTGACTATGTGGCTTAATTGGGAAATAACTGGATCCACACGATCCTCTGAAAGTTCATTCTATACAGTACAGTATCATGAAACTTAAAATTGATGGAAGAAAATTGTTTGACAGTCCAGTCCATTAACTACTGGAATTCTCATTTACTATCAATTCCGATTACTTTGTCCTTCACCACAGGGTGTCATATTTCTCAAATAATTCTCAAGAAAGCACTAGGCCAAAGCTTTCTTTCATATGGTCTGCTCTCAATAGATTAATTGGACAGTCTTCATAAAGTTTGTAATTTATAAAGTTGATAAGCACATCTCAAATACATCCCAATCAACACCTCTTACTGCCATTAAAACCAGGAATTACTGCCAAAAGCATTCTTACTGCCATTAAAACCAGGAATTACTGCCAAAAGCATTCTTACTGCCATTAAAACCAGGAATTACTGCCAAAAGCATTCTTACTGCCATTAAAACCAGGAATTACTGCCAAAAGCATTCTTACTGCCATTAAAACCAGGAATTACTGCCAAAAGCATTCTTACTGCCATTAAAACCAGGAATTACTGCCAAAAGCATTCTTACTGCCATTAAAACCAGGAATTACTGCCAAAAGCATAGGATTGAACACACAGTAACTCACAAACACAGGCTCATTTGCTACATTTTTAAGAAGATCAGGGCAATTAATTAAGATTAATTAAGATCAAATTAAAATAAATTTAGGTCATCAGAGTAAACACATTAATTATTTTTTTATAACAAGTTGGGTGAGAGGGCGGTGGAGGCCAAAACCGTCAGCGGTTTCGAAGCATTATACAACAGAGCGCTGGAAAGACGGGACACCACGAGCGTAGCTCTCATCCTGTAACTACTCTAAGGTAACTACACGTAGGTAATTATATCACTGGCTCACATTTGAGGGTCCCAGATTCAATTCTCGACAACAGAAAACCACTAAATGACTTCATTGCGATACAGTATACAGCATAAGCTGCTGAAATTTGTTTGATTATACAGTACTGTATTTTGTAAACATACCAAACTGTAATAGCAACAGATTTATGCTAGGTTACCAGTCACTGTACATTGGATGGTTTGTAAATGGTTTACTTAATCAACTGATAATTTATATGAAGCCACACATTATCACTCAAATGCAACATTCAACCTTGGGTTAGGTTTGCAACCTTGAGTTGACTCCCTCTCAAAGCCAAATCACAAGGGTTAGAGCTTTAGGCTAATCCCTAAGGGCTGAAATACTTAGTTTATATCCTATACTTTGGCCACAAGAGGCGGCGTAAGCCAGAGTAAACTGCCCTCCCGGTAATCGGAGCAAACAACCGCTACACCTTCCAAAGGGGGTTCGGTAAAGAAGGAACAAGTTGGAACATAGGACCAACGAGAATACTGTTACAAGCTGCCCAGTAAATTCTTACAGGTCGATATGCTTCAGAAATATTACAAGTTTACAGTAAACCCATGCAAAGTGGATCTACATTCTCGCCTACTCAAAGCTAGTTTACAGATCCCTGTAACATACACAAACCACCTGGACAGTCAGTCGGCCGAGCGGACAGCACGCGGGACTTGTAATCCTGTGGTCCTGGGTTCGATCCCAGGCGCCGGCGAGAAACAATGGGCAGAGTTTCTTTCACCCTATGCCCCTGTTACCTGGCAGTAAAATAGGTACCTGGGAGTTAGTCAGCTGTCACGGGCTGCTTCCTGGGGGGTGGAGGCCTGGTCGAGGAACGGGCCGCGGGGACACTAAAAGCCCCGAAATCATCAGAAGATGGACCCCCAGACACAAGAGCCACACACACACACAGTCCTCTAGACACACTTCCTTAATCTTAAAAACACAGACGACAGTCTCCAACACCCACACGACACACTCAGTCACAACACTTGCACATTACCAGCAGGCAAGGGCCTGCGGGCCGCTCCAAGCAACAGCCTGGTGGACCAAACTCTCACAAGTCAAGCCTGGCCTCGGGCCGGGCTTGGGGAGTAGAACAACTCCCAGAACCCCATCAACCAGGTATCAACCAAGCAACTGACAACACGTCAGTCGCCTCAACACTTCCTCACTGTCAGTTACTCACGACGGGTGACAGTAGGTGGTGGTTGTGGTGGTGTGAGGCCCTGGCCAGCCTCACCACTCACTCACACACTCACCAGAGGATGAATCACACCAGGTAAACACCAGCCAGCATCTCCCTCCCGTGTTTCACAGCAATTGGCTTGATATTTGTGGTGTGGGTGGAGGGTGGGCCGCTGGTGCTGGGGCTAGGGATGGTAGGGAGGCTCATGGGCCCCCTTCCCGACACTACTATCCACCTGCTCGCAGATTTTTTCCACCTGCTTGCCGCTACAGCCACTTGATATCCGACTCTCCAAACGATGTATCTCCACTCTAAACAAAATGGGATTTTCAAGATGTCCAGCTCATTATTTCCATTGATATCCCGCGTCTAGGCTTACCTCATAATGCTAATCTGGCGTGTAAAATCATCTTTAGTATTCCAGTGTGGCTTGGCTTTGGGAATGGAGGCGGCGAGAGGGCACTTAACGCTAAATTTTGGTCCAATTTGCGGAGATGTAGCTGACGTTGGGTGCTGCCGAGCAATGTCTGCCTGCGCCGACCCCGCTGCGCATTGCCATTGACCTACAACATTGGAATACGGAGCCTGGATCACACTCCGGCTCTCCTTCGTTTCTCTCTCATTTCATTCAAACCTTTACACTCAAATATACCACCTCATGTCATAATTGTATATGCCATGCAGTTAAATCATGAGTTAATTTTGGCATTGGGGAAAATGTATGAGTCTCTCCACACTGGACCCTAAATGCCAGGGCTAACCTTGGATGCAACTCTCAAAAGTAGTGACAAGTCTTCTAATATTTACTACGAGGTCCTCTACTCAAGAAACCTGTAAAGGCTGTTCGCCGACACCGTCTTCACGACGTCTCTCAACATTGCCCATCACCTTGTGGGTGATCTATGGGGCTCTAGCCAGCTCTGCGGAGCTCCATGGTCGCCCCCCACCACCCCTGTGGTCTTACGGGCAGCCGCTCAAGTTGCAATATCACACACACATTGTCTACGATATTGCTGGGTTTGTGATGTGTCTGAGCCCAAGCCCCTCATCTCCGGCTGATGCTTCACGCCATAATAACATATCTCATATTTACGGCGCCCAAGCCACGAACGGCTAATATATATATATTTTTTTTTGTAATGTGGTTACTCATTTTGGCCTAGCACCTGGACGAGGATAGGAAGCCCGCTCTCCATTTGTCCTGTTGATTTTTTCTAACTGGATTTTAAAATTGAGTAATGTTTTGACAATCACGGCTTCTGCGGGGAAGCGATTCCAAGAAGGTACATTGCAGGTATAAGAAGGTTACATTGCGGGTACAAGACGGTTACATTGCGGGTACAAGACGGTTACATTGCAGGTATAAGAAGGTTACATTGCGGGTACAAGACGGTTACATTGCGGGTACAAGACGGTTACATTGCAGGCACAAGACGGTTACTTGCAGGTACAAGACGGTTACTTGCAGGTACAAGACGGTTACATTGCAGGTACAAGACGGTTACTTGCAGGTACAAGACGGTTACATTGCAGGTACAGGTTACATTGCAGGTACAAGACGGTTACTTGCAGGTACAAGAAGGTTACATTGCAGGTACAAGAAGGTTACATTGCAGGTACAAGACGGTTACATTGCAGGTACAAGAAGGTTACATTGCTGGCCTAGCATTTTATTTATTTATTTTTATTTATTTTTATATATTTACCTGAATTAACTTGAGGGTTAATACTCCATTGGCCTGGACGAGGATAGGAAGCCCGCTCTCCATTTGTCCTGTTGATTTTTTCTAACTGGATTTTATAATTGAGTAATGTTTTGACAATCACGGCTTCTGCGGGGAAGCGATTCCAAGACGGTTACATTGCAGGTATAAGAAGGTTACATTGCGGGTACAAGACGGTTACATTGCAGGTACAAGAAGGTTACATTACGGGTACAAGACGGTTACATTGCAGGTACAAGACGGTTACATTGCAGGTACAAGACGATTACATTGCAGGTACAAGACGGTTACATTGCAGGTACAAGACGGTTACTTCCAGGTACAAGACGGTTACATTGAAGGCACAAGACGGTTACATTGCAGGTACAAGACGGTTACATTGCAGGTACAAGACGGTTACATTGAAGGTACAAGACGGTTACTTGCAGGTACAAGACGGTTACATTGCAGGTACAAGACGGTTACATTGCAGGTACAAGACGGTTACATTGCAGGTACAAGATTACTTGCAGGTTCAAGAAGGTTACATTGCAGGTACAAGAAGGTTACATTGAAGGTACAAGACGGTTACATTGCAGGTACAAGAAGGTTACATTGCAGGTACGAGACGGTTACATTGCAGGTACAAGACGGTTTCATTGCAGATACAAGACGGTTACATTGCAGGTACAAGAAGGTTACATTGCAGGTACAGTACATTGGGTTGATAAAGTACATAAACTGGGGTTTACCATGTACATTCTTGTAAAACCACTAACACGCATATAGCGTTTCGGGCAGATCCTTAAGATAAATATTAATAAAAGTAATAATAGGTTACATTGCAACAATTTTAGTTCAACATAATAGTTACATAACAAAGGGATAGGACTGATGAAGTTGCATTTCTTAAGTATTAAATTGGGTGAATAACACAAGGTGGGAAACCATAAAGATCAAATAAAAAACTTTTTGCTTCTACTTTTGAATAAAGTATAAGTTTGACAATGTTTTAAATCATTAGAGATCCATACATTGCGTCCTTTTATTTGCATTCTGTGTTCGCACAGATATACTCTGACTCCAGGTATATCAAAGACATAAATATATCAAGTGTTCTGTTACATCTATACTGCTTTAATAGCTGAGTGGCTGGGGGGTAGATATAGCCTAAGCTACTCAATCCCTTTGAGATATATTTTTTTCTTGTCTCAATAAACATACTTGAACGGGGGCTCTCTTGATATTATATATGGTATTGGTTGATTTAGCTTTTAGCTTCTAAGATGTTTAACCTTCAGTTTTAAAACTTGCAGAAATTGTAGGTCTACAAGGAGGAAGGGAACTATCAAGAGAAAGCGCCATTATGATTATATAGCACTGGGAAGGGGTCAGGATAAGGATTTGGGATGGGACGGGGGGGAGGGGGGGGGGAGGAATGGTGCCCAACCACTTGGACGGTCGGGGATTGAACGCCGACATGCATGAAGCGAGACCGTCGCTTTACCGTCCAGCCCAAGTGGTTGGACTGTAGGTCTATAAGTTTATGTTCATTTTTTCAGTTTAGTTCATCCTGTATGTGAACAACCGCTTGGGGTGTACGGTAGAGCGATGGTCTCGCTTCACGCAGGTCGGCGTTCAACCCCCAACCGTCCAAGTGGTTGGGCACCATTGGATACAATAATTCAACACCAGAGATTTAACAAATCCACGAGGGCCGTGATGAGGTTCCGAACCTACGTCCGAGAGGATCCCAGACACGCCTTAATCGACTATGCTACGACATGGTTAAAAGAATTGTAACCGGGAGTAAAAGAATTGCAACCTGGAGTCCCGATTGCAATTCCTTTAACCATATCGTAGCACAGTCTATTAAGGCACGTCTGGCATCCTCTCGGACGTAGGTTCGAACCCTCATCACGGCCCTTGTGGATTTGTTCATTTGATGCATCACGCTATTGTGATTTCTGTGTGTAACCAGAGATTTATATAGTTGAATAACTACCTTCTTTTCCTTGAAGTCAAACGTTCGCTTCACTATCCAAGGGTTCTATAACGTTTCACTGCAGCTCGCATTTTGTTGTGCAACTTTCAGTGGATGATACCTGGTTGATACCTGGTTGATGGGGTTCTGGGAGTTGTTCTACTCCCCAAGCCCGGCCCGAGGCCAGGCTTGACTTGTGAGAGTTTGGTCCACCAGGCTGTTGCTGAGAGCTCTGATGTTGTTGATGGTGGACTCTGACTCCACCGTCCTTTTCTCCGTCAATCTGTTGCAAGGTAATGGTGTTAATTTAGTAATTGTGACGTGGATTGTTATGCCCCTCATGCAAGGTTTTCTATTTTTCGACATTAAAAAATATTTGCCAGTCTTCTGACCAATCAACTTTCATTCCTCAAACAGTTGAGGACCACAAGGCTAACGCTGCAGACCATACATGACAAGGCTGATCTCATCAAGACCTGTAAAATAAAGTTAAAAGCAAAAGTTTATAAAAAAATTATATATATATATATATATATATATATATATATATATATATATATATATATATATATATATATATATATATATATATATATATATATATATATAAATAAATACAAGAAGGTTACATTGCACAGATATACTCTGTGCCATGTAACCTTGAACGTAAGCAATTCTCCCGGTTGCAATTCTATAAAGTTTAGGGATATCAATCCAGACAACTTCTTTAAAAGGTTAAGTGTTAATCATACAAGGGGCATTAACAGCTTCAAGCTCATACAAGGGGCATTAACAGCTTCAAGCTCATACAAGGGGCAACAGCTTCAAGCTCATACAAGGGGCAACAGCTTCAAGCTCATACAAGGGGCAACAGCTTCAAGCTCATACAAGGGGCAACAGCTTCAAGCTCATACAAGGGGCAACAGCTTCAAGCTCATACAAGGGGCAACAGCTTCAAGCTCATACAAGGGGCAACAGCTTCAAGCTCATACAAGGGGCAACAGCTTCAAGCTCATACAAGGGGCAACAGCTTCAAGCTCAACAAGACACAGCGTAGGACAGAAAACAGGGAATGCCTTTTGACCTATAGGGTTATAAACTTATGGAACTGCCTACTCGCCGAAGCCGTAAATGCTTCAGTTCCAAATCCACTTGGAAAAAATCCTATATATATATATATGTATATATATATATATATATATATATATATATATATATATATATATGTATATATATATATATATATATACGTGTATATATATATATATATATATATATATATATATATATATATATATATATATATATATATATATATATATATATATATATATAAGCCTATACTTGCATAAACCACAAGTGAAGATAAACAATCTTTGGACAACACCCACCAGTGGGACTCGAACCCAGAAAGCACAACTACCTTCCAGTAGCTGGCATAACTAGTATGCTTTAACCCACTACGCCATCAGACCTTACAAAAGAAGTAGATAGTTCGAGATATATATCTCAAACATCTCTACCTCCCGAAGGCACCAGATGAGTGAGGGGTCAGTCTGCATTTTTCGTCAAGCCACTGTCAATGTGAGAGAACTCGTGTCCAGCTTATAAGCCTATACTTGCATAAACCACAAGTGAAGATAAACAATCTTTGGACAACACCCACCAGTGGGACTCGAACCCAGAAAGCACAACTACCTTCCAGTAGCTGGCATAACTAGTATGCTTTAACCCACTACGCCATCAGACCTTACAAAAGAAGTAGATAGTTCGAGATATATATCTCAAACATCTCTACCTCCCGAAGGCACCAGATGAGTGAGGGGTCAGTCTGCATTTTTCGTCAAGCCACTGTCAATGTGAGAGA